TGGATCAGTGAGAGAGGTACATCTACAGAGCAAAGAAATTCATTTAATTTTGTGTCAATTCAACTCACATTGAGTGTATTTCTTGGGTTTCTGTCAATCTTTCTGGTCTAAAGATGGGACTCAAAATCCCCTATTTCCACTGGACAAAAGAGATTCTTGCATCCTATTAATTCCATTGTTTCAACTATCACAATAGAAGGGCAGGAGTTCCAGCCCAGAGGAGTATAAAAATGTGGAAAAATTGGAAAGGGTCTAGCAGCTGGCAACAAAAATGATTAGGGGGCTGGAGCACATGACTTATGAGGAGAGGTTGGGGGAACTGGGATTGTTTCTTCTGCAGAAGAGAAGAGTGAGGGGGGATTTGATAGCTGCTTTCAAATACCTGAAAGGGGGTTCCAAAGAGAATGAATCTAGACTGTTCTCAGTGGTACCAGATGGCAGAACAAGGAGTAATGGTCTCAAGTTGCAGTGCAGGAGGTTTAGGGTGGATATGAGGAGAAACTTTTTCACTAGGAGAGTGGTGAAGCACTGGAATGGGTTACCTAGGGAGGTGGTGGAATCTCCTTCCTTGGAGGTTTTTAAAGTCAGGCTTGACAAAGCCCTGGCTGGGATGATTTAGTGGGTGTTGGTCTTGCTTTGAGCAGGGGGTTGGACTAGATGACGTCCTGAAGTCCCTTCCAACCCTGATATTCTATGATTCTATTCTGTGAGAAGGGCTCTGCTCTGCCCGTTTGTGGTTATGGGAGGATGAAGGATTGCTGCTCTCAATAGGTGTGCCTTATGCCTAGAAAGGGGAAAGCAGGGGCAATGCTGAAGCTCTATCCTTGCTCCTCTAACGGGATTTCTGTGCTTTATTCTCATGTGTGCAGAAGTTGGAGCTGGGTGAGATATTAGCGCAAGCTTGCAAAGGGGATGGGGCCCTAAAGCACCACCTGTGAATCTCTATCAGCAAAGGGGGCGGTCTTAGGAAGCAGGAGTGCTGGAGGGTTATAGGTCTGAGCAACTTTGCTACAGAGTGCAATAGGCCTCCCACCAGCACTG